AAACTGAACAAAGGGTCAGTATCTCAAGTTCTGATTATTGTCTTGGACAGCAGCTCTCTGCCAGGTAATGTGCTGTTTTTCTATTTCCTTTTAGCTTTATTTAGTAGCAATAGGTAGTTTCAGATTACTGTGGTAATCCATGCAAAACTAATTGACTAATTAAATGCAAGACAAGTCAGTGCACCAGCACATGTTGCACAGTATTTGCTGTTGGCTTTTTAATCATTATCTAACATGTATTGACAAAACAGTGTGAAGCACTTCAAAGAAAAAATATTCTTATACTCTGTCCACTCCTGGAAGCTTATAACAAGGATTAACAACTGGATGCTGACAATTCCCAGTAAAACCAAACTCTATGGATTTGATGGACATATTTGTTCATATAGGTTGCCAAAATTTCTGAGAAAATAAAGACTTCAAAGATGAGTTTCTAAAGAGAAAATTAAAAGAAGGGGAAGCATCGGTGCAGCTTAGGTCAGATAGGGATAATTAATGCCATGTGTTTTGAAGTAACTCCTAATTTATCAATGCAACATCAGTTTTACTTACAGGACAAGTCTTCATGATAAACATCTTATTTCCATAAGGATTTGGGAGGGAAGCAATAACATAATCCCCCTGCATGAAACCAAGCATTGGAATGAAGGTTATTCATCCTCACTGAGCACTCAGACAGACAGTACTTCTCCAACACCAGAGATTTTTATAATAAACGTTGAGGGGTTTCTATGAAGCAAACAATGTGGGGGTGTATTTTACTGACACAAAGTAACTCCGTTTCAGTCTTTTGCAATGTCAGAACTCAGTGTTGTATGCCTCATTTCATATATAGGTGCTTAAAAATTATTAGATTCCTTAGAATCAAGTGCAGAAGTAATTTGCAATTAGTTTTTTTTTCATTATAGCAACTCTAAAATCTCCCACCAACCTAAACAGTTCTGCAAATAGTCCACGAGCTTTAGAATGGCTGATTATACATAATTTTGAAGAAAAATTTGCTGAGTTTATTTCATAGAGATAACCTGGTGATTTTTGGGGCTGTTTTTGTCATCCCTGTTATCAAAGCTTAAAGTCTAAATCTTTGTTTGCTGAGCTCAAAACTGAGTTTAAAGCTGTCTTTGATTTCACCAGGGTAGGCTGGTGGCTTAGAGGCTTGAGTTTTGGCTGTCATCTTCACAACTCTTCTGATGTCAGAAGCATTGTAGGAGCTTATCACACACTAAGGCTCTGGACTTAAGTGGGTCAAATTCTAAAAAGGAAAAAAGACAAAACTCCTCAATGGAGTCCTCAGACACTTCCAATGGATATTTTATACCTTGCTTTATATTTTTTCATTTGTGTTTGTTTATGATATAATTCTCAATAAATCTACATGAAATATTATAAAATGTTTCTAAAAATTAGTTGGAAGATCGAAAAAGAAGTAATATTTTGTTTTTACCAGTGGTTGAGATTTCAGTGAATATTCTCAAAGTTCCACTCTCATACATAACTGATGTACTGTAGCTCTCCAACATTAAAAATATTGCCTTGACTGCTAGCAAAACCAGGAGATAACAAGAAAGGTATTGCTGCAGGGTAATAGTAGAGAGGTCCCCAAGTCCTTGTGTAAAGGAGTTGTGCTTGAACAAATGACTTTTCATGATGCTGCATGCAACCTTAGTGAAGTTTCAGTATGAAGAAAATTCCTTTTCCTTTAACTTTCCTCCTAAAAGCCTGGGGTTTTGCAGGTTTCCACACAAAATTTATTTACAGCTCCCTGTCCTGTTAAACAGCTACAAGGAGGAAAGAAATTGAGTGGGGGGAAGAAATCCAAATTCAGCCTGTCTCTTCTCCCAGAGAAAAGGAAGCACTGTGCTTGACCCATGTAACAGAGGAAAGCAGGAGAGTGAAAGATGTGTGTGCAGTGTAGTTACAGGCATAAAACAATCACTGCCTGATGTTTAAACATTACTTTATGGTGTTTCCACTGAGATATCCCATTAGTAGGTGATGATAATGAATCATGGTTGTACTTCACTGAGAGTTCTTGTCATGACTGCATACTTTTCTGATGCTTTTTCTTCCTGTGGAATGCATGTGGAAACAAGAGAAATTATTTGAAGAACATAGCCAGAATAGAAGCTGTGAAATTACAATGCTGCTTAGAAATGGACAAACTTTTCAGCACATTTTTATTTTGTTTTGTCAATATTATTTTATTTAAGCTAGAAGTGCAGCTTTAAATATAGAATTAATTTAAAAATGTCCCTGGTCAGGGCAGTGCATATGTGTTGACAAAAGTATGTGGGGGGTTTATTACTTTTTTTTCTACTTCTGTAGACATAGCTTGTCTACAGCAACTAATTTGAGAAAGAATATTTTCAGTTAAAGAGAGGGATTGAAACAAGACAAGTGCTTCTTTACTGGTAAGGATCTCAAAATCTAAACAGCATCTCAATTCAGCTGGAAATGTTTGTCCCAGATCTAACTCCTACATGCTCAGAGGGTAACTCTTAAGAGTAGGGAGAAGTGCCATCTGGTGATTCACAGCAAAAACTGAGGGAATCAAGTTCTAGGAGATGACAAATAGAAGTGGTCATCAACCACAGATAAAATTGCCATCTGTGATGTTTGGTTCTAAAGATTCTTAAAACTGACAAAACTAGCTCCATCGTCAGATATCCATTTAAATTTTTATTCTTTCATTATAGTGCAGCAAATTAATATTATATGTTTAGCAAGAGTAGATCATAACTAATGCATTGCAGTAATCACAAAAATGTCAGTGTATATGATGTCTGCTGATAGAAAAGCTATATATACTACGTGCATCAATTATATGAATTATGGAAATTATGGAAATTATGCATGTATACTTATATTTGTCCTTTTACATTAAATTTTTAATTCTGATACATGATTTGTCATTTGCATTAATATTTTAGCTCATGGATGCAAAAAAATAACAATAATATCTGATGTGTGAAGAAATTAGAGAGAATAATAGGTTAGAATTTTCTAATTATTTTAATAATAATTTAAAAATATTTGACAGTTGATAAACTGTTGGTATTCTGTAGATCTCAAATTTAAGAGTGGAGAGACCATAAAAAAGGAAAAGGATTGGCTCTGAGGTTGCAGAAAAGGAGAAAACATTAAACTAGCAGTATTTAATTCAGCAAGTTCAACTTATTTTTCTGAGTAGAACTATATCAATGTTCTGGTTTGTGCTGAGGACAAATTAGTGGCTTAGAGAGTGTGTTAAACTCAATTCTAGCTTGCTGCATTTGTTTAAGCTTCATATTTGTAAACATTCAGACTAAATATTAATTTTATTAGTGTGAGTACTCAGAGTATCCAGGTGCTTTTTGTTGTAGAGCATATTATGCAAAGTTATGTCTCTTTTTCATCAAAACCCTCTTTAAAGCTCAGCACAGTGAAATATATTGCTGTGGGGTCTAGTAAGAATATGCTCAAGTACTAAAATGCTGTGTATAAGTATTCACAAGAATCTCTCCCTTAGTTTGAATACTGAAATACTTGTTGAGAATGAGGAAGAAACTGTAAAGCATTGATGATTGTTCTTAGGCAGATATTCTTTGAAGTCAGGAGGCATTTCAAAATGTCAGACTGTATATGTATTTCTGTGAACTGATATTTTAGTTTAAAAGAAGGGAAATACATAATACAGAAATGGTACTTAATGAATATTAGACCATACCCATTTTTCTAATTTTAAATTTGTGTGCTTAAAAAGCATTTACTACAGAGTTGAGTTTATACATCACTGTTAATAGGTTATAATTTTTACTTGAAAGCCTTTTGAAGAGAGAGGAGGAAAAACCTATGCTATTGAACACTTATGTGTATGTATAGAATTGTACAGGCACTGTTTGCATAGAAATTCTAATCATCTACAAAGTATGAAATCAAGGTGTCTTGTTGTACCCTGTGAACTTGTATCACTTTGTACACAGTGCCACAGTTGATAATGCAAAAAAGCAATATTTCTCAACCAAATCCTATTTTGTAATCCCCTTTAACCTGCTTTTCCATTAATTTATATTAGTGTCTCATAAGTTAACCGCTGGTTTGAATCTAGCACTACAAATGAATACTGTCTTTTATGGTATAGATAACCTTATCCACAACAATGGCTCTATTTTTAGGAGATGATATGATAATTCTTTACATTTACACACAATGACTAGTTGGGTCAGGGTGAGTTTGCATAATGGAATGAGCTCCCTACAGTTGTTTCCAGATACCTTGATAATGAGAAGTGGCATGAATGTTTAATTTATTAATTTCTTTCCACTCAGAAGGATAGAATGAACTGGTTTCCTAATTTCTGTTTCTCTAAGTTTTCAAATGAGTTTAACTTTTTTGTTTTTAAGTAATATTTAATTTGAAACATCAAAAAAAATTTAAATTCTTGGTGTTAAGAGAATGAATGAAAGATAAATTAATTACCTTGTAAATTGCAATAACAACAGTCTGATTTTCATGCAGCTTAACTATTTTAGAAGTCAATTGGTGGTCAAAACTAATGTTACCATAAAACAGAATGAGCAAAAGCAATAATCCTCGTAGTGACTGCAACTGATGATGACCTTTTTGCATCTATCATGTTATTAGAAAATTAAATAATTTTCTTCTTCAAGGCCAAAAAATTTTAGGCTGTCAGCAGTTACATCAAGTTCTGCTCATAAAACCTTTCACCTTAAAGCAAACACACAAAAAGAATTAAAAGGACTGACTAATTAATTCTCAACACAAACAACAGATCTGTACTATAAATGACTGAACTGTTTAAGGAGTTGATAGACAATTTAAGAAGTTCTTTGAATTCTAGGACTTGACTGTGGCTTAAAGCCAGGCCTCCTTTGGAAGACCGGTGCTGCATTAGAATTAGAATTCCTTCTGGACAGCATGTGCTGCAACAGGAAGTCTACCAACCTGTGAGATGGAACAGCATATTCCCATCTGTTGCTGGCCAGCTGTCCTGTACATACCCCTCCTTTTCATGAGATCAGCCTGACAGCAGTAGTTATGCTCTTGAGCCATCATGCAGCTGAGCTGCAAACATGAATCACAAGGGGTAGGTGCACTTCACAGTCACTTTCCTGTCTAAAATTCAGTCCTTGGGTGTGTTGGGCTTTCTAGCTTTGACCCAGAAAAATATTTAGTGTGTGTTTGTGTCACTGAATCATTGAGGAGTCTTTTCCTAGAGAGAAGAATAAAGGCCTTGTTAGGACTTGATAATGAGATTGTTTTTTGAGGTTTGTTGTTTTGGGGAATATTGTTGGAAGTAATCAGCGCTTTCTTGGTAGCGATTCATTTACAGTCCTTGGTAGTTAACAAACTGTTTTATATTTCATCAAATATACTATTGCTTTGTGTCAAGAGTCATCACTGTCTCTAAGGACTTACTCCCACATTTGCAAATAATAATTACTCTCCCTTTTTCAAAATGGTTAATTTCGCAATATAATCAGGAAATGCTCTGACAGTGACTGCAAAAGGGCAATTCACAGTGACTTCTGAAATGTAGACCTGTGGGAGCAGGATAAAATACCATGAAAACACCCTTTTAATGTTTGTTTTGAGAGAAAGGAATGTTGATGTGGTTGTGAGGATTATTTGAGGAGTTGGATTTCTAAGGAAAGGGTAATAGTTTTTTGTTTGGTTTCCCCCCCCCACCCCACATTATGTTTTAGGCAAGGTTCAATGTTTATGTAGGGAAGTATAATGAAATATAATTCAATCTGCATAGTTTTGCCTAAAACCATGCATCATTAAAGAATTTGCCTTATCATTTATTTGAGTAGGTCAAATTGCTTGTATTGTGAGAAATAGCACATAGTTGTCACCTACTATCCTTCTCTACATCATTGTGTTTTTACTATGTCACAGACACTGAGCAGCAAGAGTATGTGACTGATGTCATTACATCATGTTTAGATTGAGTATGAGCTTTTTCATGTATTTCACTTTATTCTGGGTATCTATTTGTGGTGGCTGTATCAAGTGTTAATTTATTTTTCCAGCCCCCCTCACTGCTGTCAGATTCGTTAAAGCTGAAGCGCTTTCCCTGGTTGACGGTAAACACCAGGTATTTGTGAAAGAAGAGTGTGATAGAAATGTGATTGCAATATGTGATATTGCAAAAGAACCTGATACTCCTTAGATAACATAGTGGGTTTGGCTTGTGTGTTTGCTTTGCAGCGTGCACTTCCTTGAGAAGGCAGAGGTGGAGATCTGCTGGTGCAGCCTGGGTGCCTGGGCATGTGTTAGAAGGGAAGCACCTGGCAGGCTGTGCACTGCAGCCAGCACTTCTAGAACTTAGGAGGTAACTCATGTCTCTGCTGCTGGCTAGGTCTTGAATGAAAGCATCTGAATTTGGGCACCAGAAAAAGAGAAACTTAATCTAAACTCAAAATGGCAGGTTCATATAACTTCAGTCTGAGGTCACTGTAACTTCAGCTGAGTGCCTGATGGTGGTGTGCCACTCAAGCAGTATGTGCTGAGTGCATTAGGTCAAGAGAAGGAGGCAGAAAAGCAAAACTAGGACATTTGATCTGGGAAAGAAAGTCTTTTTGAGCCCCTTAGGATTGGCTCTTTTGATTAAAGGGAGTGATGGCAGACACAAAGTCAGGTGGAATCTTGAAACATGCAGTTGAAAGGCAAAAGAACTGAGGAGGTAATTGGTATGAATTATGTGATGTATATCATGAAGAAGGCTCCATGAGAAGCAGCCAAAAATCCCTTCCTATTGGTGTTTTCTGGATTAGGACAAAGGGATGGGACTATAAGATTAAAAAGAAAAGCTTTTTTTGGTGCATGATTAGCCAAGTTTAGCTATTTCAATGCAGAAATCCTTAAGCTGCAAGAGGGAAAGCCATCATCCTTCTCCCTGTTGCTAAAAGCACTCAAGGCTAAAAGTCAACTTGAAAAATTTTATTTTTTCAGGATAAAATTGTACCTTATGCAAATCAGAAGAATAAGCATAGTATGAGGAAGAAGCAATTTTTTGTTTCATTCACTTTCATGCCCACCAAAGAGGTACTTTAAGATATTGAGTAGAGAAATAAAGAAAACGGAAAAGAGAAATTCCCATCTGATGGAATTGGGAATCTTTAAAGAGTATTTTAACCAAATATGGCATTACAGACACTTTAAATCACTAGTGACAAGTAGACCATTACTGTACTAAAATAGGGATATAATAAAACAACCATTTTGGGCTGTCTGGGCTTTTGGGTGTCTCCTTCTGTAAGTTAAATGGCTTGAAATCTTTGTTTAATATTTTATCTCTGACTTATGAGGAAACCTTTCCGTAATGTATGAAAATATTGAAATTAATTACAGTATATAAAAAAAAAGTGTTGTGGGATGCATTGCAAACTTCACATAAAACAGGTTGTTTTCTGTCCCTTGGTAAGTATTTTATTTGTTCAAAACTATCCCATGATATTAATTTTTAAGTTGGCAAGAATGCTGTAGATCAACAGTGTGCACTAACATCTGGCCACATAGTGCAGCTGAATTAGTTGTGTGATAGAAGTAAAAGAAAATGGCATGCAGATATACATAATTTTAGGCTCAAGTGCCCAGTATTCTTGTGTAATGCTGATTAAACAGACTGACAAAGCAGAAACATTTTATATATTGGAGAATACCATTAGTTCCAAAATAAAATTACTGTAATTTAAGCAGTTGATGCAAACGGAGGAAAAATGTGCTGCTAGCCCTGTGCTAGCCCTGCAATCAAATCATGCTGTAAGGCTCATATTTGGCAGGTATTGTAGGATTGAAAGAGAAGATTTGAAGAGAAATTACAAGTCCTTCCCAAATACAAGCATTATACATACCACAGTGAAACAGAACAATGACAGAAATGCAGCTTCAGTAGTTATTGCATCTATATCAGATGAGGCACCAAATCACTTCTAAAACCTGAGGTAACAGTTGATATCTGTTCTTGGGGAACACCTAATTTCTAGCAGGTTGCTGAAGGGCAATTCAGGCTGAAGTTCACAGAAAAGTAGGTATGCATTAATTTTGTTATGTTACATGGGAAATGTAGTTTTTTAGCTACATATAAAGTCCTCATTCTTCTTTCCCTGCTACCCATAGCATTTAAGAAGTTGAACATATTTTTCTGTATGAACAACTATCCTTATGTGTGTATCCTGATGGCCACATATAATAGGTCATCACACAAAACCATTGCTGATGAATCTGAGGGTAATTTTAAACTAGTGAGCCAGATCTTGGTTTGTGAGATACCTCATTGTGGCATCTCAAAATGCCAGGCAAGAGAGAGCTGTTCTTTCACATGAAGGCTTACTTCTAATACTTCCTCATTTCTTATGAGGACAGTGTCTGAACTTGCTTTGAAAGCACTGCTTTCTTTTTTCATGGTGAGTACTATTATTTCTGAAGTATGTTTGACTCTATAATGAACTGGAAAGAGAATTTTTCTTAACCTGTAGCCTGATTTAGAAGTGCCTAGGTACTGGCACTTAGCCACTTGTTAATCTTTCCTTTTGTTGTACAGTATGAGCAGTACAAACGTGATTCTCCCTGTTCAGAACTGAAAAGGTATGTCCAGCGTTAGAAGTGCTAGATTTCTATAGACAGTATTTTTGGGAGGAGATGTCAGGAAGAAATGTTGAAAGCACTACAAGTTATAAAAGTTATTTGCATTACATTAATATTGCCACAAAGCTGTGGCAAATAACCTGTTGTTACATCAGCACATTTCCTCAAAAATTTTTTGTACTTATTTTATTTTTTTTGTCTCCTGTTCTTTATTGATTTATTTTCACCTTGATTTCTCTTGCATCAAATTTCCACATCTCTGTATTAAAAATCAGAAATACCTTACCTGTTAAAACAGTTATTAGGATAAAATTTGTCTTGGAAATCTCAAAGGCATATATAACTTTTTTCAGTTTTTGATCATCTCAGCATATTTATGAATAGAGAACCAACTTTTTTTCTTACCTATGCCCTGTAAGTGTGGATGAAGTCCATTAGGATAATGAACTGATTAGGATAATGAACTAATAATATAATAATCAAATGTCACTACATTCTTCGAGCCTCAAGCTTGCTTTACAAATTTCTCATTTCAGCATTTAACATTATGTGCATACCTGTTAATAAAAACAATTTCATTGTAGAATTATTGTAATCTAGAGAATAAGAAGCAGTCATGAAAGTAATTAAAAGAATATCAGTAAGCCCACATTCAGGGAAGCAATTATTTACTGTGACTTTCCTTTCAACTTTTGTCACATGTGGTTTTCACAAGGTTTCTTTTATTACCCTCTGCAGTTGCCACAATAACATGTCTGTTGTTGGAAACCTCAGGCTGTATTTGTCCCAGGCATACCATGCAAGTAGGAAAATTGTTCTTAAGCCATGCTGTAGTACAGCATACCTTGGTTCATTTGTCTGGATTCAGGCAACTGAGGGTGGTTCAGCATGTTTCCTGTTAGTATAAAATTTACTTCCACACCATTTTTGATGGATCATTAATTATTCTTAGCAGCGAACAATTTTGTACTTGAAGACCTGCAGCAGGTTTTGCAGGATTATACCCAGTGTTATATCTGGGTTTGTGTGGAACAGAACTAAAATAAGTCTGGCTATGATTTGCTTTTATACCTTTAACATAATTTTCAATGTTTCTCACTGTGCTTTATTTTCCTTTTTGCTCATGTTTCAAAAAATACTACATACCATGCTTAAATTACTTCATGACATGCTTAAATTTGTTTTGCTACATATAAAACAATGTGTTGGATAGTAAATACTTTGATCCTATTCTTAATTTGCATTATCAAGATTAAGTTTCATATATATGCTTAAAATGAAAATTTCAGTTTTGAAATTGGAAAGTGAAATGAGCATCATTGCTACTTAATGATTTCTGATTTAAGAGATAATTTTGAAATACTTGTTCAGTGTCTTGCATACATGGAATCATGTTTCTATTACCTTACATCCTAATTATACCATGTTAGTTTGCAGTATGTGTTTTCTACAGTTTCTGAAAATAAGTCTTTTCTTTGGCATGACATGAGTTGA